GAAATGTATATATAATAAATATGCGCAGGTCTATAGATACTTATATTGAAATTTATGTGTGGATTAGATTTGCATTTATATATTCAACAATTCATATGTCATAATAATTGGAAAACATTGTAGAAAAATTAAATTATAGGAATAGTCTAAAAAATTATCATTACGTCAATTAGAATTCTATTCACTAAAAATTTCTTATGAATGAAAGGTTGGGTCATAACACATGAGGAAAGACTAAAAACTATTAGCTAATTATCACTTCATTTTCAAAATGCGGCATGCATGGTTGTTGAATAGGGACCTCATGTTTTCATCCAAAATCATATATGATCACACCACTGGACCCTTAATAAAAGATAAAAGTATTATTATTTTTTATCCTAAACTATTTTTTTATTATAAGATATATTTTTTTTCGAAATAAAATTATTTATTAAAGAACGATATTTCTAAACAAAAAAACACTAATTTCGAATATGTCAAAGAAAAAGAGAATATCCATGGAAGCTTCATACGTGTTTTTAGAAAAATGACACGTGCATCAATGTTCACAAAGCGTCAACACATGCTTAGACCCTCTCCTCTAACACGCTTGTCCATGTTTGACGGGACTCGAGTACAGTACATCATCAAAATAAGTGGTTCGCTTGGTTTTCAAGCTAGAATATTGACCTGAAAAAAATAATAAATAATAAATAGAAAAATTTTCCATTGATAAAGGCAACCTGGAACAATGTATTTGAATCATTGGACACCAGTATCTTAAGCAGGGTATATTAGCAATGGAACCTCCTCAACCCGAACTTCATATCCCAAAGATATAAATTTCGGCATGAAATTTACAATTGGATCAGGCATGTGCTAAGGTTTTTGATATCTAAAAATGCAAAATATTGCTAATTACCCCCCGGGTTGGTATTGCGTCCACATGTTATGGACGTTTAAAAAAATATATTTTTTATTTAAAAATAATATTAATCTGAAATTTGAAACTTAGCTTCATTTTTATAAGTAGAACATAAAAATCATAAAAATTATTTTGAATGACAAATATTGATCAAAATAAATTGAAAGGTAGTTAAGTCATTTTTATCTAAAATATTTTTTAAGCATTATTATTTAATTATATTTATAAAAAACCCACACCCCAAAATTCAAGTAAAAATATTATTTAAATAAAACAATAAAAAATAAAGTATGAGATCAATTTTTTATCATTCGATCGAGCCTAAGAGAATCTGAACAATTAGAATGGTAATAAGGTATGAGATCAATTTTTGATAATTCGATAGAGCCTAAGAGAATCTCAACCGTTAAGAGTGGTGCTTGTGCACCCTGTCCACATGGACAAGATAAAAACAATCACCTGAGAAACGTTGCATAGCATTTGGGCATGCATGCATTGTTTCTCCTTAGTATCCGTCAACCATTTTTTTATGGGATTGTATACAATGAGATCATTTACCTTTGATATAATGTCAGAGTACAACCATTTGTTGTGAAATTTGATAGCTTAAAGTGTGTCACAAAGTTTGAAAAATTTTATATTAAAATTTGAACTTGATCAATAGAATAAATGTGATCAATAGAATAAATGCAACCATCTAATTTTGTATTCAATGGTCAAGACAAATTATAACCACTTTGTACCAAAGATAAATGGCCTTATTGTATCCTTTTCTTTTTTATATACACCAAACAAAACAAAACTGTCCCGGTTGGCCAAGCCATAAATCCTTAGTAGTAACTATTGTTGTTTTAAAACCTATCAATTTTCAGCTTACATTGTCATTCTAGATGAAAATCAAGCAGGACCGAACCAATTGCGAGATGGCATTCTGATAGGGCAAGGGTCCCAACCCAATTCTAAGCTCTTATTATTACAACCTCAATTAATTATGGAGTTAAGAAAAAAGGGATTGTAGGCAAACAAGGTGATAAATAAACATCGGTTTGATAGAACCAACACATTTGAAGCTTCAAATTTCACAATTATGCTTGAATTTATTCAGCACTAAATTTTCATTTTCTAGTAGATATTTTAGGTGCATTTACACTTTTTAGGGTTATGTTATAGTGTTCACACTATAGGACATTTTATAATTGTATTCAACAAATTTTAAACACTTATATACTCTTGTTTTGTATATAAAACAATTTTTTAAGTAAATGTATTTTTAATTATTAAGAGACATGAAATGTGATATCACCCACATAGACTACACTAGTAACATTTAATGTTCCATATGCATGATGTCACACCCTACGATATCACACCCTTCATAATAACGAAAAATACCCTTATTAAAAAAATATTGTATTACAAAACAAAAATATACAAGTGTCTAAAATTTGTTCCCTACAATTATAAAATGCCCTCTTGTGTGAGCACCTTAACATAACATTCTTCCACAGGAACATATTACACAATAACTCCTTCAGGCCGAGATTTACTTAAATCATCCTTTTATATGAATTTTGGGATCCAAGTATCATCTTTTAATAAAGAAAGAAAGAAAAAATGAATAAAGAAAAGATCTTAAGTTTTTAGATACTCAAATTATGCCCTCTAAAATATGGACGATTGGTCTTCGCATTTGATACTATTTTAAGTTTTTTGTAGGCACACACACACAC